AATATTAATATTATATCAGACAGATTCACACAACGTTCGCAGTATGAAAAGTGTTTTTTTTTTTCTTTATATACTTTTTGTTCCTTTTACGTTCCTTTCTGCTAATGTTTACGCTCCCCAATGACTAATACATGTAGCGCAAATACTTAGTAATCGTTTTCGTTTAAACGTGAAAAATGTGTAAAAACGTGAACGTTTGATGCGACGACGGTATAGAGCATTATTTTGGGGAAGGGAATTTGCGTACTGCTTTTCACTTGATTTCTCTCATTAATATTAATAATTTTGGATTTGCTGAAATACTCCTAATTCCTGTCAGTGGCTCGGAGCTTCTCTTCCACAGCTTCTTCAGAAGCCTCTGAAAGGTCTGTTGCCTGTACGTACTTTTGCACACCAACTAAGGACTTTTTCAAAGCGTCGAAAGAACTGGAGTACAACATCTTCTTCTTAATTTTGGCCGTGTCAGGACACCACGACATCAAGAACAATTTTTGTTTCTTGGAAGCCTGCAAAAAAAATAGATTTCAATTGAACAATTTGTATTTCACATAGATGTCGATCATTTCCTATGCTTTAACTAATTATAAATATATTACCTCGGAAGTACCCTGACACTGATGAGTGTATTCAAAATCGAAGAGACCATAACGACATTCTTCGCTACCACCTTTTTGCAAATCAGCGAGGAAATCGTCGTAAGCTGTGTCGCGAGGTCCGATCACTTCAACATCAATTTGCTTCTCGTCCTTAATGTAAAAGATTACATATCGATGCTTTTTATCTTTTTTAATCTCCTCGTACGTTGTCTTACAAACGTCGGCCACTGTTACTCCAGATGCCTAAACAAATAAAAGAAACAATAATTATTAATACAATTGAAAGAAAAAAAAACAGTTTTTCAATATTTCCTCTACAATTTGTACAAGTTTCCCTTCCTCAAGAAATAAAACTAATGTAAAAAAAAAAAAACGATCCTTCTATGGATTGGAGATTAACAGAGAATTTCATAGAGTAACATGCAACCGTCAATAGCAACGAAGACGAGTCAGGTGTGATAATGAGTCACAAGGTTGCATAAGAGCTCGATAAAAAGTTTGTATATAAAATTTAATCACACTCGTTGAAACTGATATTGGTGACAAGAAACATGTAACTCTCTATACGATCCATGAGACGTATCCTCATTGCTCGAATAACGTGATATAATATTTCTTCTGCATAAATTAACATATTCGATTACAATTGCATTTGCTATTTGTTTCGCTGATTACTTGCTGTCTATCGCTCATTTGCCCCCTTCCACCCCATCCCAAACCACCATTCGCGTCATTCCTCGAGATAAGTGACGTTTTTTTCTTTCCTCCACAGTACCGTGCGAACGCAGATTACGAACGTCGGACATCTTTCTGCATTGCGATACGGAACGAAAGTGGTTGACTGATGAGGAGGGCCGTGCCAGTATCGGCACTATCGGTATTACGCGCGTCGTGTTAGTCTGGCCGTTTAAGCTTATTTCGCGGGCAAACGTAGGGGACGTACCGAAATAAAGTCTTCCCACGCACGAATCCGATGCTAAAAGAGATCCGACGTCCATTTCTAAAGTTATCCCTTGCTCGCGGGCACGTGCCACACAGTACAGAGGCCCGCCCGACCGACCGAGTGTTTCTTCCACTCTGTGGAAATCTGCGAAATAGGACCACGACAGGCACGACGCCCGGATGAAGATTCTGGTGAAGGGAGCAGGATAGGGGAGGACCAACGTTCATATGGAGGGAGGGTAAGGGAGAAAGGGAGGGAAGGGGAAAGAGGGAGAGGTAACGCCACAGATGGACGACGCACACGTAGAGTGAAAAGTTCGAAGTGGGATAGTAGTTATTTTTGAAACAGCTTTCGTCTAGGATGAACGCTTTCGATTCGAAAATCTCTATTCAAAAATTGTGCAAAAAAAGAAAAAAGAAAGAAAACCTTGTATACATATTAACGAGGAACGCGTGGGGAATCTCGCGACGAAACAAACAAGTTCACGGTTATAAACAAGAAATTGCAAAATCGCTAAAATTAGTTGCGTCAAGCTCGTAATTCGATATTTGAAGTTAAAACGGATACTTTGCCAGAGACATGTATATCCCCCTTCCTACGTGCCCGCCTGCTCAAACGTTGTTATTCACTGAAATAAACAAATCTCGCTTGTGAGTAATTGACGAGTCAACTAAATTTAACGTATATGTTGTTATTTATAACGATTATCATGTGTGAAAAGTATTTCTAATTAAATAGAAATGAAAATGTCGTTGAATAAACGACGATTGTTTAAATTCAATTCGTTTCAACCGATTGTCGATTGTGTGTTCATTGTAAATACATCTGAACAAACGGTTAAAGCTTTGTCTACACCGGCATAATGAACATAAGGGTCGATTGGGGTGCAAAAGGGTCCGACGAAAAGTGTAACGTGGTTGGAGGATAGCCAGTGGATGGAGGATGCAATTCCTCGGTCGATATTCTGGCACGACGGGGGATGCCGGTTAGGGCCAGACTTGGCTCCCTCTAGGGCGTTGTTGTAAACGTCTCTTGTGTGTGGCACAAGGTCAAACGGAAGATGATTCACCGACGAGGAGCGGCGACATGGTCGGTCGTTTGACTGTTAAGGAGTATATACACCAATCGTTTAAATGTATAATTTTATATTATTTATCGATCGGTTAACACGGAAAGATGATGGATATTCAAATTTTATCATGGAGAAAATAAAACTTACAATTCCTTTCAAAGGTGTGCAAGTTGAAATAAAATCTGTCGGCAAAGATTACGCGCGCATTTATCATTTTAAATTCTGCCATCTTTCACTTGTTTTTGTTTCTAATTACCCCAATTCCCTTGATTTCTAACGATAGGCTGGCTAGACGTTTTCCCTCCTTGAAATATTAAACGCATAATGAAAAGTGCGGTTAAATGAATTAACATGAAAAAGTTTAAAGGTCACATTTTAACCGATAGTTCGAAAGAGAAAAGGTTAGACGATTACGAATAAGAAATAGCAAGCAAGATTAATCATCGCATTGTCGAGGATAATCAGCTTATTCACCACGTTTATGAAGGCGTCAGTGAACTTTGAGAGTCACTGGCCTGCAAGAACCGACCTCCTTACGGGCTCATTGAATTTTTCCCTCTCTACCAGAACTCTTGTAGTTCACTGTCATCCTCAAAGCGAGAAAGAGGGGGAGGGTTAGTTTCGCAAGGAAACTCAGCTCTTCATTACCAAGGATACAGCGTCTATCGGTAACTAGCATAAATATTTAAAATGTATTCGGAGAACGGTAGTTAGTACTTGTGCCAGTTTCACATGGTTAATTTTCTGTCGCCAATTTGCCGGAAACGGAACGCGACTACTTAATGAATTCTTCCGGAACTTCGATAGATACATCGCGTGTATGACGAATCGTTCTACAATTATAAATGATTAATTGCCAAAGAAAAAAGCGTACAAAACCTTAATTTAAAAAAGATTAACGGTTTCAAGAATACGTAACTTTTGAAATAACCTCTATATGCACCTGTATATGTAATGTAATTGCAATTTCATAAATAGCACTTGAACGAGTGAAAATGTAAAATTAAACTATTCTTCAATGCAACAAATTTATCTTTAAGTAAAGCATGAATTGCATTCCTCGTTCATACATGTTTATTCTACATTTGTACCAGCAGAAAGTTTTTACGATTATGAGTTTTACGAGAAAGTTTTCTTTAACCGTATAGTAAGAAAACAGAATAAATGAGAAAGACGTAACGCGAATTTGCAAAGATAAAACGTGTACGGATGGAATTGAAAAGAGACAGTTGCTGATCGATAATAGAGTTCAATGTTTCGACATCATGTATGAATATTGGAATAAATTTTCAATCTGGCATAACTTACGTTCGTTATATAAATTTTTGGCAATTACAACGCAAATTCGAGAAATGTTCGAGCTCAAGACGAAATTATATGACGATAACAGTACTGAAACGCATTTCGTAGTAGTCATAGGATCAATGTCAAATATACGGATCGGAGAACAGGTCCTTGTCTACTCAATACTATCGAAATCATGCAAAAAAAATTACTTATTGCTACGTTTACCGAACCAATTGCGAAGTTAAAAAAAAAAATGAGTCAATCAGTTTACACTGGATTGAAGCATATGATAGAAAAAAATAGTGAGACTAACCGTCCAAAATGTAAGATTAGTAAGAAAATATTGTTCCAATGACGGAGCAAAATTAGAGTCTAAAAACTCTTGCAATTAAATACAACTGGAAAAGAATCCACCAATATGATTGCCATGCGACGATACGTTACAACACAACCGCGAGTTTCTACTCATCCACGATATGCAATTTTCTCCCATCACCGATCACAGTTGTTCTTTGAGTCTTTGACCGACGTATCGCGAAACTGGAAATGAATCATCCGTTTCCTGGAAGCAAGGAACCGCGATTGGCACGTAAAAATGCACCTACATGAGAAGTGTTAATTTCCTTGGTTCGTTGTTAAAAGTATGAAAATCTATGACACAGGCGATTCCAAACGAGTAGTTCAGAATAAATGATATCGGTCGATTGGTGTGGCCAAAAGAAGAAAGTAGTCGTTCTCGCGGCGTATTGCCGGGACAGAAATGGCGACCGGCGCGTCTGCTTCGGCCATAACCACAAAGTAACCCGTGTACCGGTTTCCGAAGGATCGTTGACATTTTTTGGAACATAAATACATGCACAGTATAATATTTACCATTTCGTGATGTCGTAGCCGGTGAGAAGAATCACGTAAACAAGCACTTTAACCTACACTTTCACGAGAGCCTCGATCTGGTGGAACTGGATAGGCGCAGTGTCCAGTCGCGGGGGTCGCGGCTCGCGAACGAACGGGAAGGGAGGCTCCTCTCTCAGCCAGCTTTCTGCGAATCCTGTATCTTTACGCCTGCGCGCGCGCACTCTGATTAACTCTGTCTTGATTGGCCGATCTCTGACTAACAAAAATTCATGGTCGATTATATGAATGTTTTTCTCGAGAAAATTCAATAGCAAATCTTACGTTCCGTACATTCGATTGTTTTTATGACAAATCAACGAATTAAGTTTGTGAAAGCGGGAGCTTTGTTTTGTAGCCGGTAGGATTGTCCAGTGCGCAAGCGTTGTGTGATGCGGTCATGCCGGCCTTTTATACAGCATTTGATTTCGATAAGAATACAATTTTTTTTCTCAATTATCTTACAAATAAGATTTCTTAATAAGGTCTTTGATGCCATGGAACAGTCATAAGATCCATTTAAGTAGCAATGATAAGTACTTTGTAGAAATTAATCATCGATATGACCTGCCGGTCGTACTGACCAATCATCGTAAAGGACGTGGGGAAATTACCTTATATGGGCAGCGGCATGCAAGCGACCGCATACAGACGTCGCGCGTCGTTCTGTGCGCATGCTGCATGCTTTGCGTGCGCACGACGCGCAATATAGTTGACAGTTTCAAAACACTGTAAACCGTGACAGCGCGATATTAAATCGGTGAACAATCCCGAATAACTTTTATTAGTAAACGTTAAAATATATGATAGTTTCCCTATTTAAAATGTTACGAATTTATAAAATTAAATTACTTTATAAAAATGATAGATTAAATTTGATATTGGGTGTTTCAAGTAACATGAATGGTATGTGTACTACTATAATATTATATTTATGTTTAAGAGATAACATTATGATTATTTGAAGCACAAAAATTTATAAATTATAATATTCACATAAATATATTTTCCTTAAATACTGTATCTTGATATGCCAAAAATATAGTCGAATACAATATTTCTATATGTTAAAGACTGTATAAAGTATTTGCTTGAAGAAATATGAAATGTAAGTACATTTATACGTATACATGTATATTATTGTAATACTGTTGCCAATCATACAGCTTAAAAGCATGTGCAATACATTTAAAAATTATTTTTAGTACAATTAGTCTTAGATTATTGCTTTAATTTAAAATAACGCATAATGTAACTAAATAGTGAACAAGATTACATTACATAAGCACAACAAACTATAAATTAAAAAATACTGAAGCAGCTTGTACTGATTTACTGATTTAGAAGACAATTGAAATGTATCTTAATGCACACTAAAGGTTATTAAATATAAGTTAAAACTTATTTTATGATTTATTTTTAGTATAAAAACTGAATATTATAAACGTAGTAGCTCAGTCCAGTCCCTAAATTTGTTTGCAAGCAGCAAAAATTATAATTCTTTATAGGATTCATTACATTTCACAGAAAATCTAATAACGTTCTCAGTTTTTCAAAAATGTAAACTAAGATTTTCATTGCATAAACAAAAATATGAATTTTTCTAAAATTTTTTAATAGTACTGTGTAGGTACATATATGTACAATTTTGGCAAATTTGTGGATAATGTCAAACGCATACTTCATTTTAATAGCAGAATAATGATAGATTCTAATTAAGATTTTATATTCATACATGTTCTAGTTTATCAGTTTATATAATCATTTAAGATTTTTATGAATTACACTAAAAAAACAGAATACAAAATTTTATTTATTCAAGATATGAAATTTATGATGAATACTAAAGATTAATAATGGACATAAGATGTAAAAAGATACCTAATTTTCTTTAGATATTAATAAAAATCATACTACCATAATACAATTATTAAATATCTATCAAACTCGACAGATGAAAGTTAACAATAATTGGATTAACTAGACATAAGAAAAGTATACATCTAAAAATAAAAATTTAGAGAATATGTACAAATTTGTATAGTAAAACATATTTTGAAGCTTCTGTGGCCAAATTATATTGGCAGTAGTTAGCAGTGTTTGTTAGAACACTGCTGAGAATAAAAAAATATCTATAAGTATGATAGTCTTCATAATGTTCTCATATAAAACAAGTAATAATCGCAAATGTAATAAGTGAAAACGTAATATCTACGCCCAATTCAGATTTATGTAATTCTTTATATTTTTTTGTCATGAGGTGGCCGCTTATTAATGTTTATTTTAAGATACAGAAAACAGAAACATGTCATATAATAACAAATGTAAACCATGATTAACGTATTTATGATTCATATTCATTTTCATGATTAAACTTACTTAATATCAATGTTAAGAAATTATATGTTTTGAATATAGAGATTATTTTATTTTTGAAAATAAAAAAGTAAGTATACTTTTAATAAAAGATAGAAAAAATCATATTATTGAAAAAAAGCAAATGCAGTTATAAAGTTCTTAAATAATTCAAATTGTAATACTTATTTTAAGTACTCCTTAATAGTGTTCTTCAAAAAACAGAAGTTTTACCGAACATTGAAATTGCATTCTTTTGTAAAGAATACAATAATTATGACTTTGTAAATAGAATTACATGGTAGGAACCACCTATATCCTTTCTAAAAGAAGGAGTCATTATGTATAACAAAAAAGTAACATTATATGAGAACTATACATAAGCTAGTTTCTCAGTCAACTGTTACAAGACTTTGTCCTTGTTTATACAAATTAACCAGATCACCAAGGACTGATTTTTTATTTCTAAACTAATAGAACGTTAGATGAGTCCTCGCTTTTTCTTATAATCTTCTAAATTTAAAGATCGTCGAGGGCCAGTATCTTTAATGTTACTAATAGGCTTCGGCAATACACTAACGGGGTTGTCTGAAAAAATACATCGCATGCACATTTCATGTTAAAAGTGCTTCATGTAAAACTTTTATTCTGAGTAAATATAAAATATATTTCTTGCATAACTTACTTGGAATTGGTACTTCCAAATCTATCGTGATATCAAAATCATGAGCATTAAATAGATCTTCAGTACTTTGTTTTTTCTTCATCTCTTGACCATTTTCTTTCTCTTTTACCGCTACTGCCTCAGTTTGTTGAGGACTTGCTTTATCATTCACCGGAGCAGTTGATGATACATCTTCATCGTCTGGTTTGAAAACCATTCTTGGTTTTGTGCTCCGTCTGGTAAATGGATCATCTACTTTTTTACCTTTATTGGCTTTAATCTCTTCCTATTACATAGAAAAGTATGTAATGGATTAACACATTTTAATAATTTTAAATTTTATAACACAAGTTACACACTTACCATAATTGCTTTTTCTGCTTCTTCAACATTCTTTTTTCGATTACGATCATTAATGTAAGATATACTAGATATTGTTGCGGTGCGCATCTTGTCAAGTTCAGATGCACGTTCTTCAAGTTCACTTAATTCTTGATTAAGTCGACTAGCAGTTTCATCATCTCCTCTGCAATTGGCAGCATCCCTTTCACGCATAAGCTGTGCCTTTTTCATAGCATAATTATACGGATTTTGTTTAAATCTTTCCTTTTCCCGTACTATCTTTTCTATATCTTCTTCCTTGAATTCGTATACTAAAGCTTCTTTAATGTCTTTTAATTTTTGTTCAACCTCTTCAAAAGTAGGCATTGATATTCCTTGCAAAGCACAAGTTTCTTTCCACTTGAAGAATTCAGACTCGGTAAATTCTTGATTTGATACAAACTCTAATCTAAACACACGTTCTTGAGCTCCATGCCTTAGTTTTAATCCTTTATTTGTTCTTGTACCACCAAGTTGATAGATTTTTCCTGTTTCACAGACACCACTAATTTCAGCTACTCTATATACAGGCTTTCCATTGTTGTTCCCAATGCCAATCCTAACAAAACAACCTTGTACTACCCTATCAAAGAAAGGTAGATGTACAAATCTCTCCATTTTATGGCGTGACAATCTAATTTTATTGAGATCTTCCTTAGTGTTGACATATATTGGTTTCTTCGGTTTCGCCTTATTGCTGGTAATAGATCTGTAAAATCATACAATTAATTACTTCTCACAAGATCATTAATATTGACATAACATTGTTAACAAAAGAGATACTGACTTTTTGTCATTATCAGAATCAGAATCCCTACTGTCACTTGAAGATGACCTACGATGTGATGATGGTTTAGTAGTCTCTTCTTCTTCAGCACTATCTGATGAACCACTATCATCAGAATAAATATCAGATGCCTTAAGTTTCGTTTTGTTTGCTCCTCCTTTGTGATCATCTTCTAATTCTTCTTCTTCAATATCTTTTGATTGTTGTTGCTGCTGCTCTATCCTTTGTTTCTCTTTCTCCTCTAATAAAGAAAAAAGAAATAAAATGTACACAAAATCTATAATTTTTTAATTTATGTACTTTTAATTTAATATTTTACCTCTTTCTTTCTTTTCTTCCCGTCTTGCTTTTAGAAGAGACATTGCATGGAATTTTTTATCTTGCTTTTCTTCTATTGTTTTTTTACGATCTTTACTCCTTTCTTTAGGATCTGGTGCTCTGTCAACTTTTTTCTCTTCTGTACTTTTCTCTTTCTTTCTTGATTCCTTTTGTTTTTTCAATTCTTGTTTTTTAGCCATTCTTAACTTTTTCTCAATCTCAAATCTTGTTTTCATGATTTCACGTTGTTCAATACGTTTAAAAATTTCTTGTTCACGTTCTTTTTCTGTCATTTGAGCAAGTCTTGCTTGATCTTCAGCATCTCCCATTAACTTATCATCATAACCATCATTAAATTCTTCTTGGCTGGAATCAGAAACACTAGCATCTGAGTCTGAAACCTCACCTAAAAACAAAGTCATTTTATCATGTTTCAAATTATAAAATAGTTTAAACACAGTATTGCAAACAATGAATGTTAATGTCAATTTTTAATTTGAATAATCACCTTCTTCTGGCTCAGAGACCTTTTCAGGTTCTTTTTCACTAGCACTTTCTTCACTACTAGACTTTGTCATCTTTCGTTTATTTCTCTTAGTTGGCACTTTCTTCTTCTTATTTTTACCAGCTTTTGCACCCCAATCATCATCTGAATCTGATGTATCTGAATCATGTTTACTCTCTTTCTTGGTGGTACCAGTTTCTTCATTAGATTGGGAATCATCTTGAGCTTTGCCCTTCTTCTTTTTGGCAAGGGATAATAAGTCCTAAATCAAATTCATAAATGTAAGATTAGAATTCACATGTTGACTATAAAAGGGGCAAATTTATTAAGTATAGAAAGCACAAAGTATAATGTAAGTGTATACTAATTAGGAATAAGTACTTAAGCATCAAAAACTAAACGTGTATTATTTAGCACTATAACAGGTTATATGAAATAATTTTCGCTCGTACATCTTTTTTGTAATATGTTTCATGGATACAGAGGACGATTCGCAACAAGTAACATTACTACTGAAATTTATCCGTTCTATTTTCGAATCATAAGAAATTAATCAAAGGAGTAAAACAAGATATGCAACATGAGTTTTTTATGTAAGGTTATATCATTTACATTATCCAAATCCGAACCACTTTCTGATGCACTGCCACTACTATCAGAATCTATAAGAGCCTGATTCTTTCTCTTTGGCATTGTCACGAAAATTTGCAAACGGAGATCGTGAAAATTGCACGCCCTCCTAACAAGGATAAATCTAACGTCATGCAAGATACAATAAACTAGGAAAACCGCGTAGAACCAAAGACGTTAAACATCAACGCCGATACAGTAGCGTATACCACGCCACTCGTTTCATCAACCTAGTTTTACTGTCGGACCAATTACATTATGCCATATCATATGCAATTATTATACGCTATTCATTCATCTAAAGAAAAGAAGGTTATTGCTAGCGTAACATTTCTTTTGTTGTAATTAATCATTATTCTAATTCATGTTGTAGTTTCGTATATGTGATACTTTTACATTAGGAACATTTTCTTCCGTGCATTGGTAATTGTGAATGTTGACACTTTTTGCCGTCAATGGCGTATGATAGACGCACCTGTGTCGATGTGTCAGAGAAATTTTATACTATATTGGATTTTATATGACGTTACAGTCAAACAGTGAGATGTAATTATAGGAGTGGCATTTACGAATTAATTGTAATAGATAGTAGTGTTGTAGGGAACGTGATCATTCTAATTACGGATGTTTAAACTTGGAATGTTCAATGGCTGTGAATATGGAAGTAGAAAAGAGCACATCCAAAGAGATTGACACTCAACTTTCGGCAAATAATTCGGTGGAGTTTAATAACGGTATCCAAAATAACAACGAAAATATTAAAGATGTTGATGATTCATTGTCGTCTCTAAAAAATATAACGATTCGTAGCGAAAAACGTGACGGTACTATATACGCGCAACTTGAAAATTCTCAAATTTATGCGAAAAATTTAGAACATAATCGAGTGTCTAAAAATAAAGAAGGGGAAAAAGATCAGGAAGATAAAGAAAAACAATTATTAGAAGATGAGAAAGTTTTAAAGGATGATTGTAAGACTGAACAACTAGAAGCCACATCTGAAAATGCCACTGATGGTTATGCATCTCAAGCCCCGTTAGCTTTTACAATTGATTTTGGCAACAAGGAAGTTGATACAACTAAATACCAAAACTTATTTGAAAGATATAATGCTAGGCATAAACGAAATTTGTCCACATCTAAGGTAAGTGTTCCTATATATTCAATATGAATACATGTAACATTAAAGTATTAAAATGTAGATAAGGAAAGCTTATAGGTAAAACAATGTGGTAAAAATATAATAAATAATGTGAGAAAGATACAACTAAAAATGGAATTAAATTTTCAGGTAGAAATAAATACAAAAAAGCCTGGTACTTTGGTTTCTCCAAACTTAGTGCAAAAGCAAAAAGTTTCTAGTACACATTCTGAAGGTTATTTCAGTAGTGAGGATGATACAAAACGAAAAACAGATCAGTTATCAGAGAAACTGAAACAGCTAGGTAATTTTATTGATTTAAATTAGATTTAAGTTTACAAAAATTTGGTGTTTATTAAATTTTCAGAACTTTATTAAAACTATTGTTTCCTAGCATGGTGTATGAAATTAATTCTATAAACTAACAATTAATTCTTGTTACAAACACGCACTTTATGCTTTAATAATAATATATTAAGAAAGCACCTTTAACTGATAATGTAGTTTAATAACTTTGTGTAATAAATCTATATTTAATGTACAGTATTTAAAATAATATTTGGCTTTTTTATAATTATTGAAGACCAATTCCTTTTGAAGAGCAAATTGTATATAATGGAAGACTATATCTGTAATGTATGAGTCATGATGAAGTCATCTTTACTATGCTTTTTAATATTCTTCTCAAGTATCTTCGATATATTCACAGTATGTAGGCTGCCAACATTAATGATTTTAATATCACATATGAACTGATATTAAAACTTCAATATTACTGTTTTAAACTGAAACATTTTGGTTGTTATTTTTGTATTTTAATATTAATATTATTGTAATTTTACAGTTGTAATTTATTATAGAATTTTCAGTTTTTTATAAATGTAGCATTTTATGTTTTCAGGTTCAAAATCGCTTTTAAAACCATCCAGTACTTCAAAAAAATCTGAATCTAATGTGAAAGTAGCAAATTTTCAAGATAAACAAGACTCAATGAGTAAATCCTTTGAACAGTCAAAACAAAGTAAACTTCCCTATAAAAATCTTTCTTTAGAACTTAGTTATGCAGATAAAACAAGTGCAACATCATACTGGGTACCTCAAAAATCTGCTACTATAAATGATTTAAGTCGAATTCAAGTGAATAATTATGATGATGATGCTGAAAAGTTGTATACAAAAAATATAGATCCAGAAGATGAATATGAACATTCATCTGACAATGTGTCTGAAAAAGTGTCTAACATAAATTACATTAGAAATAAAAGCATAAATGTAAAAGAACACAATTTATCTAGTATTAGTTATACAATGGAAGTAAACCCAGATGACCCAGCTGAAACAGATCTAGATGCTTTAACTGTTAGTAATCTTGATGGGGGATCAGATGGTGCAGTTAGTGAAGCAGGCACATATACAATTCATAAAGATTACACTGATGAAGAGAAAGCAAGAATGGATATTGATAAAGTATTTAATGTTGGTGTTTTAACTGAGGAGGATGATAGCAATGAAGCATGTATTCGTAGCTTCAAGGTAAACTAATAGTATATTGTTTGCTATTATTACTATATTTACTTTTTATTAGTATTTAAAATAATATTTACTTTAAAGATGAGTGTGTCAAGAGATAACAGCACATGGATATCACAATGGGCTACTCAAGTAGCAGAACATAATTCTCTTCCACCAGCAATTGGTGGACCAACTGGTCGTACTCCTCCATTGAGTCCTTCCAAAATACCGTCTCCTATTCATACTAGATCTCAAAGACTGGCTCGAAGTCGCAATGTATGAAATATTTATTATTCGTAGTAATATTTATAATACATACATATGTGATTGGTATATGCGTATAATAACGATATACACATACAACGGATATACATAACGATAAATATTTTTAGGAACAAAGTGACGGTAATTTAGATGCGGAATCATATTTGCGAACAAAAGAAAGAATTACCTTAATTTCAAATCAACAAATACTTATTGATTCTGGTGGAGAATCAGATGATGACACTAGCAACAGTTATAATACACCTCCACAGAGTTCACAAAGGACACCAGTACATGGTATGTTGGCAAGGAGGGGAAGTTTATCTGAATCTCTTTTTAGAAGAATTAATACCAGTGAAAATAGAAGAAGTATTCGCAAATATTTAAGTTCAAGTAAATCAAAGACTGAAGATACACCCACAGAATTAAGTAGTCCGTCCAAAGATTTTACTTCCCTTCATTCAGGAAGACGAAGTAGTTCCTTGGACAGGTAAAAAACAACATTTACATATCAAAGAATATAACTTACACATGGTTCTTCTTAAAATTATTTGAATTTTCATAATATAGGAGAGAGTATACATCTAATACATCAGAATGTAATACGTCCAGAAGAGGTAGTACGAAATATTATCAAGATGATGAGATTAAGTATCCAAATAGTCCTGTTTTAAGTCATCTCAGACCATCTACACCAAAATTAACTAACAGTCCAATCGTAACTCGTAAAACAGTTACAAAAATTGTTAATTCTCCAGTGTTAGAGAGAACTAAACATTTGGCAAAATCTTCGCCACAAGCCAAAAATATTGGATATTTTACTTGTGTTGAAAATAGGTACGAATGTTCAGAAAAATCAAAAATATGTAATTTATTAAACAAAGTAAAATGAGTTTTTATTTTTAGTCCATATATGTTAAGAAAATCCAACAGTACTACAAGTTACCATGAAGGAAATGTTGGCTTTAATACAACAACTGACAGTGTTCTTCAAAATAGTCCAAATCTTAAGCATAATCTAAATATCCAAAGATCATGTAGTAATGCAAATATTAGAAATGTAAAACCACAAAGCCAGTCATCACGTCGTAGTAGCTTTAACAGTAGTGATATTGATAGAACATCCTCAGGAGGAAGATATCTTGCTGCCTCTGACAGTAGTAGTGAAACTGGTGAACAGCAAGTAAAGTCTTCATTAGGTTCAATGTCTTCTGGAATTAAATTAAATCGAGCTTTTAGTATAAGGAGAGCTAGGTATTTCAAAAACATAACTAATATAGTGAAAGTCACAAGAGTAACGTCAAAGTAGTTTTTATAAATATGTTTTATAATGTATAGATTAAATTGCGAATCTGATACAACTCCAAACACAACTCCTGAAGAAAGGCGTAGAAGAGCACAAAGTGAAGTAAAACCAACGCTTAATAAGCAACAAAATTATCACCGAAGTCGTGCGGGTAATATGAATGTATATAATAAAGAATCCTTAAAAAAGTCAGAACCTACAAAACCGAGGGCTGCATCTATATCAAGAACAGATAGTACCAGAATTAGTATGAGAGCACCAAAATCATCATATGTAGGTATTTTATATTTATAAATGTACTTTTTATATCTTAGTTCAAAATTCTTGTAAAGTTAGTTTCTTAATTTACAATATTTTGTAGCATGCTCCAGTTACTCAACGATCTACTCAAAAAGTAAATAAAGATCAGAAGAAATCTGGAAGAAGTAATTCAACATTGACATCAAAAGAAGTGGAATTTCAAAATTGGAAAAGAAGAAAAAGTTATGATCCAATGAAAGCAGCTGCTGAAGGTAGAAAAAAGTTAATAGATAATTCAAAGAAACATCATAGCACAGAAGATAGTTCAGGAAAGTAAGTATATATTTAAGGTATATTAGTGCAAATGTTCATGGCATACTATTTCGTTTTATAATTTGATCAATATATTTCTAGTCACGATAATTCTGTATTACGATCGGCTAGTTTCCACGGAACAGGTGCTGCTCTTTCATTAGCTAATGAGTGGTCTGACAACGAATTGAGTATTGCTCAGAATGACAATCAGGTACCTCCACCATGTAGTCCACAATTGGTAAATATATGTACATACCTTTTTTTAAAACTAATGTTTGTTATGAATAACTGACATTTTTTTATCAACAGGAAAGCGATAGTGACATAGAAACTTCTTATTACTTACAAACGACACAGAATGTAGTATCAGCTATGTCAGCTCGTATTACGGTCTGTCATTCACCTTTAGTAGATTCAGATAATGATAGCGATGAAGACACTAGTCATAGTTTACATAAAAGTATATCGAAAACATTACATCAACCTAGCGATACAGAGAGTAGTGACGATCGTCGTCCTAATGCACAGGGTGCTATTTCAAATACTAAATATAATCGAGCGTTTAGGTAAAAATTTATATGTTTATTTACTACATATTGTCATTACGTATGTTTTATAATTTTATTTGTAGTTTACGCAGAGGGAGATTAGATTTACAACCAACAAAACTACCAACAAATATAAATAAAAATAAATCAGTCACAAGTGATACCCGAGGAAAATCCGACTCTGTTTTAAGTATTAGCAGAACTGATTCTGGGCGCTTTAGTATGCGATCCAACAGAACTTCAAATACTGTATGTACTTGGTTTTTATACAAAACATGTTCATATGTATGTGAAGGAATCTTTAAATATTTCATTGTAGGGATCTAAGATAAAACCAAAAGAAACAAAAAAACTTACAACGCCAAACGCAAGAGAGGTTGAAATGCAAAATTGGAAACGTCGTAAGAGTTATGATCCCATGAAAGCAGCAATGGAAGGAAAAAGAAAAGCAGGTTTGGCAAAGAAAAATACGAATGCCAGCCTTTCTCCGAGGTAAACAGTTGTTTTTACTTACTACATTGTAAAATGATATGAAAACATTTTATTATTCGGTTAATATAAAAAGTAATTATTTCACTGTGTTGGTAGGACTGATAGCGATCGATAATCTAATGATAGAGACCATCGATACAAGCAAGTGGTACGAAAATGACTTGTTTGATTTTGCGATATAGATTTTTTTAAGAGGTATACCACAACATATAATTTCCAGTGTTTTTATTGTTTTTATGACCTCTTAAGATAATCATATTGCAACCATGCTGCTTTTTGATATTATTTATTCTTTACATTAATCCATCGCCAGTGCACTATTAATTTGTGAATACTATGGATATGCCATAATTTAATGCAGAAAATTATATTACATACATTATTTTTTTATTCATAATATGGCATAATTTCATGACTATGTTTTAGTGAAATCAGCTGAAAAAAATGGATATTTATTTTTACTAAAATAATATTACTTATGAATCAGATAGTTAGAATGTAAGCCAATATATATATGTATATATATCTTTTTTATGAGTGTGCAAATCAAAAATTTCAGATTAGTTTGTTGTGGCTTATTAATGTGGTATACAGCTAGAATAAAATCTTTTTTATTAATTTGTTTTGCATGATCTAAGAAAGAACCAAGCATACTAAAACATTTCCATTTTTGCACAAGTTCTCAAAGTGTATTTTCAAATTTATAATTAATGTAATTTAAAAAAGTTACAAGAGTCTTACTTATTAAATTATTTTCACGAAAATTTAAATTAAGATTTCTATCGAATCTTCTGTTATATGGGAACAAAGCACTAGCATGCAAAAACATTCCTATATATAACGATATATTTTATTGGTTCTTTCTTGACATATTATGAATAAAGAAAATATTATTTATTTTGTTTTTAGCCATGTTGCAAGATCACGTAGTTTCCATGGTTCTTCAGGATTTGGAGTTAGTGATTGGAGTGATGAAGAGTTAGCTATATCTGCAGATGAAACTACAATTTATTAAAGGTCGAGTTATTAATGATATTATATAAATGAACCTAATAACAAAAACTTCAACTATATTAATGTATATAAAGAATAAGAAGATCAGTTCACACAGAATTGCTCTATGAATAGTTCTATACATTTGAAATTATATTAAACGAAGGAGAATGTTAAAAAAATCTTTTCTATATTAAAAGATTCTATTTTTTGCAACTTTTCATATTAAGGACCTATAGATCTATACGGCTGTCGGTACTATTCTAAGTTGAAGTATTAATGTTCAACAAAATTAGTGCATACCAGCATAATATATTATGAGTATACATTCTCATATTTTATTCTCCTTTTGTCATAGTATAAATACCATTTGTGCATATTAGAATGTGTTGCATCTAAAAAAATACTATGTGAATAAAAAAGGAACTTATGGTAAGAAAAATATTGTAGTTCCAATCTTAGGGCCTAAAAATAATGAATACCAAATATAAAAATTCATGTACGTAATTGGCTTAATTATACTTGGACCAAACATATAATGGTGTAAAGAAATTAATATCTTCTTATCTTAGTAATCAGTAATTATTTTTTTATTGCGTTATTTTTAGTAGGTTCTACTGATTTCTAATCATAATTTTTAATGATTTGTGTGCTCTCTAGTTTATTTTAATGAAAAGTCTCATTATATATTATTGGAATCAATATGTATAATCATTGGTACTATTGAATTATTAGGTTCAAATAAATAAAAAATTATACATATTGCTTGCTTGTAAATTAGGAGAAAACTTCCATGTATTATTAATTAATATATGAGCTCTCTGTGTTTCAGTATAAATATACATGTATACAAAGAAACCATACTACTTGCTCTTAAAACGTGCAATGAATTATTGTAATTATTTTTCACATTTAATAATTTAATAATTAATGTGATCATAATATGCTTTAAGATAGTAGTATGTATTAAAGTATTATATTTTATTATTGACCAATTTAATTGTATATCCTTCCATTAATTATGTAAATATTAGGAAACTATTTGAATTGATTATTAATACAAATCTACCTTGCATACGCGCTTAATAACATTAATGCGATTAATGCATTGATATTGATCTGTATAATTTAGGAATAGTATTAAATTCATTATGTATAATAACATTGTATGAAAAGTTGATATTGTTTGGTTGTGCAGCTTGTTATTTTGTTATAAATTTATCAACTACTTTAGATTCCGATATTTAGACAAATTAGCTTCTACGTGCTTGTTCTAGTTATAATTGTATTGTATTTTTTACTGCATAATTTTTTAAAATAGGAGTT